GGGACACCTGCAGCGCCACCGCGGCACCCACGGACAGGAGAGGGGACAGGGACAGGGACAGCGGGGACAGCAGAGACACCTGCAGGGACAGGAGGGACAGCAGGGACACCTGCAGCGCCACCGCGGCACGCACCGGGACCGGGGACAGGGACAGGGACGGGGACAGGGACAGGAGGGACACCTGCAGGGACAGCGAGAACACCTGCAGCGCCACCGCGGCATGCACAGACAGGAGAGGGGACAGGGACAGCAGGGACACCTGCAGGGACAGGAGGGACAGCAGGGACAGGGACAGGGACACGGACACCTGCAGCGGCACCGCAGCGCGCACGGGCAACAGGGGGGACAGCAGAGGGGACAGCAGAGGGGACAGCAGCAGCACCGCAGAACGCACGGGCTGCAGGGACAGGAGGGCCACCACGGCCAGCAGGGCCAACGCCACAGCGAGGTGGGCCACCATGGCCAGGAGAGCCAGCAGGGCCAGTGACACGGACAGGTGGGCCACCAGGGCCACCAGGGCAGTTGGGGCCAGCACCGCGAGCTGGGCCAGCACCGTCACGGTCCCGGCGGCCGTTCCTGCAGCGGCAGCGCCGAGGGGGACAGCGGGGACAGCACGGGGACACCGCGGGGACATCCTGAGGACACCGTGGGGACAGCACGGGGACACCGCGGGGACATCCTGAGGACACCTTGGGGACAGCACGGGGACACCGTGGGGACACCACAGGGACATCCTGAGGACACCGTGGGGACAGCACGGGGACAGCACGGGGACACCTCCTGAGCCAGGGGACACCTTGGGGACATCCTGAGGACGTGTCCTGAGCCTGGGGACACCCTGAGGACACCACAGGGACACCGCGGGGACACCACGGGACCACCATGGGGACATGTCCTGAGCCAGGGGACACCTTGGGGACATCCCGAGGACACCGCGGGACCACCGTGGGGACACGTCCTGAGCCGGGGTCACCGCGGGGACAGACGGTGGCCGAGGACAGTGACACGGAGGGACGGCGGCCCCGGTGTTGGGGACACCGGGGTGACCCCGGGCTCGGTGCCAGGGCCGTTGGTGGCCCCGGGGCTGGGGACACTCGGGGGTCCCCCCCGGCCGTGTCCCGGGCCCGGGTCCCACCTCGGTGTTGATTTTTTTTTGCAATAATTAAATTTTTTGTAACTATTAAAAAATTTGGGGTTTTTTTTTCTCGTGACCCAACCCCCAAACCCACCCGGGACCCCCCCAGAACCCCCCACACCG